TCATGTCCACTGATATCTTTCTGCAATAATTTAAAACCAATAGCAAAATCAGACGCGTCACAGACGACACTGAAAGGCCGCTCAGGGTTAGGGTAAAGCCGAAATTGGAGCACGAAGGAGACTGTTCTTTATAGCTTCAAAATCTTGAGCATGGACTGCGTCTTAGCACAAGACTGCATCCTTCTTGAGGATATTGATCAATGTCCTTGCCCTGTCAGCGTGGTTTGCACTGTACTTGTGCAAGTAATCAGCAAGGCCGAGCCATTTACACAATTCCTTTTGGTTCGACGGAACCGGCCAGTCCACAATTGACTTTATCTTAGCGGTATCCACTAGAATGCCACGTTCTCAAATGAAGCACCCCAGAAAGGTAATTTCTGCCGCACCGAAAATGCATTTCGATGCATTTGCATACAACTTATTCGTGCGCATGCACTCGGGCACTGCTCGTAGATGGTTAATGTGATTGTCCACATCTGACCTCCCTTGGTCTGCACGAATATAGACAAAGATGTCGTCGAAATAGGCTTGCGCATATCATTGGTGAGGCCGGAAAAATTGCGTCACAAGACGATTTAATGTAGCCGGGGCATTAGACATACCTTGAGGCATAACAAGCCACTCCCGATGCATGCCACTCTGCGTACTAACCGCTGTGAGCGGAGTATCACTCGCTCGCATGAGCAATTGATAATGTCCATCGACCAAATCGAGTGCACTGAACATGATACATCCTGACATAGCGTTCTGAATAACACCTTTTCTAAGAATAGGGATTTGTGCCGGTATAGTGGCTGCATAAAGCTGATTGTAAGCATACACAATGCACCACTTACCATGAGGCTTACTGACACAAAAAATCGGTGTCGAGTACAGAGACTTGCTATCACGCACCACGTCAGCCGCGTGCTTTGCATGAAAAAACTCGTCAATGACGTCACACTGTTCCTTAGGCAATGGTCATTGCCTTGTAATACAATTTTTGGTCCTAGAGACCAGGTCAATCTCATGACTTACGTCTCGATCAGGAGACAGAGGGGAAGGTGGATCGTGACACACCACATCCTGAAACTCCTTAACCAAAGGATAAAAAACAAATATCTTTAAGATCGATGACCACTTCCGAGATCTTAGTGCCGCCTTTTTGTCTTCCAAGACACCTTCATCAAGAAGTGACGACGAGTTCGACTCACCGTCGAATCTAATGACCACCACTTCAGATAATTCACCTGCTATTAAGGTCAGTCCAAACCCATCGACACACATTTCGTCTAGCTCTAACAGAGAATCCAATGAGGGTAAAGTCTCAAGACTCACTGACCCATCTATGTCACCGGTCAATCCACAAACGAGTGTATATAGCTGCTCGCTAGAATCTTTGGAGACGTAACAGAATCCTGCGTTGCATTACAGCAATCTGGCGTCAATGTCGTCTCTGTGACGAGACTGAACGTCTCAAATAGCCTGGAACTTTCTCGTTCTCAAGGTTTATATCATCATCATCCTCAGCTTGCTCTGCACAAGCATCAATGTCATAACCAAGACCCAGGACATCAATGTCCTAAAGGGTAACAGGACCATCAACCTTAAGTTACTCATTACCAGAGCCGATGTCATCATCGACATCTAGGACTATACCGCCCTCAAGGTGACGAACTGCGTCAACCTTAACTTGCCAAATATTAGGGACGATATTATTACCGACATCTGGGACGAAACTGTCACCAAGGTGACGAGCTGTGTCAACCCTTAAATGATATATACTAGATCCTATGTCATTACTGACATCTGGTAATGAGTCACGTCCACTGATGTTACCAACCAGTATGTACTTATGTGCCACTCCATGCTCATTGAATGGGCGTTGCCCTTGATGACTAAGTGTTTTATAAACGATATGTTGACTGACATTCAGTGTGTTGCATCCACACGGCCAACATCACTTAGTGGGTACTGACGTGCCACATCACGCTCATCAGACGGGTTCAACCCATGATGACTTGGCCCTAGGCCAAAATGCTTTTAGCATTCAGTAATTTATTATCACAACGATTATCACTCGACAGACTAAGAGCCGTTGCACGAAAAATCAATGGTCTTGGCTCGCAACTAACGTTTTTGACATTGTCCAAATTAGTGAAATCATCCATATCAATGTTCGGCACACTGACTGTCTCGGCCCGTGGATCGCGTCATTAGCGCTTCTGTTCTCTAGCAGAGGTGTGCTCTTGACTCCCCAAAGCCCCACAAGGAACACAGTGTGCGTTGCGCATAAGGTCTTTGACCACCAATAAATCCATGGCTCATGGCGTTCTAGCCAAGCCATACCAAGGATGAGATATTACCTCTCACACAATTCGAGGACTAGACGGCGTTCACTACTGTCAAAGTCCGAAATAATATCACGCCTAAGCTCACAGGAACATTAGGCACAATGAATAATGCACCTGTTACCAGGCGAATAGTAATAGTCTAATTCTTTCACGCTTTTAGCATCTCAGCATACTGCTGACTACCTTTCAAAGAACAACGTCGAATGTAATTTTCCGACGCCCCGGAGTCGATCTATATCGACCATGGCTTATCAAAGCCCCTTACTGTTGCTTTTTGCAGCTAACAAGCCTGGCTTGTATGCATGCTTCGTGCCATTGTGCACGAAGTCACTTGGGTCTAGTTCCTGTCCTCCATCGCCTCCCGGAGGTACAACAGAACCTAAATCCTCCCCGACTGGGCTTCCCGCGCCTACTGGGACTCGACGTTGTCCCGCGCCTTACCGACTCGTTGGGTAGCGACGGGTGGTAGGCTCGAAAGAGCCCGTCTGGTCCTTTTTAAAGGAAGAATGGGACGAAGATGTTTGATGCTCTCGCACGTAAAACATCTACGGACGTTCAAACGCTGTTCGACACGTAAAGCTCAGCTTCGTTGTCTCTCTCAGCGAGGCTAAGGTCCGTGAACTCTGCCCTATCCATGAGATGAGCTCTGCTTGACGAGTTAGATTGGAACCCATGAGTCACATAACGGGCAGCTTTAAAGTTGAACTCTGCATTTAACGCTATGTCCACTGTACCCACAAATGTCACGGGCTGTGCACGGAACACTTCCATTCTGGCAAATCTAGTGCGAAGAACCTCTATAAAATTGGTTACCAAAATTATCTCAGGTAAAGGGTCAAGCTGCACAGCAGCGACAAAATTTGCAGCTCCTAGAAATAATCGACTGAGTTCTTTTTACCCTGGCGTGTTAACAGCAAGAGTGGTCGCACGCGATATGACCGATTAGGCAAGGCAGACGCCTAAGATAGCTGCTGTTTTAGCATGTCTCAGGTATGAAAATACTCTTCTATCGAGGTACCAGAAATGAAGGCTTAATCCCTGGCTCACCCGCCTAACTTTGATAGGGACATGCCCACCTTTTGCTGCTTTGACTGCAGCAAGGCCGAGCTAATGGCAACCTCCATCTCTTGAACCCACAAAAGGCTGTTTTCTCTCTCTTTCCCTTCAAATAAATTGACACTTAAGACCAGAGGGCGAGTCCTTGAATAAACCGCAAGTCGTTGACTTAATGTACGGTATTGGAACATACCGAGTAGGCAAGTCAGATGCCAAATGGTCATGGACCTGTCCGATCAACGTAGACTCAAAGTTCAAAAAGGCCTTAAGACGTGCACGAAGTGCATCGGGCCTTGCGACACTGTAAAAGCCACTTGCTCATGACCGATCAACGCATTGACCTTCTCAAGCATAATCTGTGGGGCCTTAGCGAGGGTCACGGTCGTTTCTATCCTCGCAGAGGATTCGGTTTGTGAAGACCCAGGTGTAGATTGCCTACAAGTGCTACCAAGTGTAGCGGAGCTACTTATCAATCCTTAACACAGAAAGTCTTAGATTTAACGAGTCTCTTAGTTACAACAAACTAACAACGACGTACAGTCGTTCAAGCGTACGAGCTTAACAATCCCAGTTCCGAAAAGATCGCGATTTACGGAATCACACACTAACTAGAACCTACTAGTTAAACAAGAGTAAACGTCTCGACAAGACTTATGCTCTTCCAACACACTACTACTAGTTAAACAAGAGTAAACGCCTTGACAAGGCTAATTCTCTTACAGCACACTACGCCTTGACTAGGCACTTATGTCCAACGATTCAAAGGTGTCACTGAACTTTATTTAACTAGGGTAACATACCCCTAAAACCTTGTCTGAATGACTTCTGCATTGCGATCCTATGACAAAAGTCTTATCCCTTATCCTTACCCGATAAGGTGCGGTGCTACCGTAAGTACGTGGTACCAAGACTGTACCACTCAAATCCACCGATCTTTACTTGGTGTGGACACACAGCTTAGCCAATCTAATAACTGCCGTGTACCCCGTGACAATATTAGCCATTTAGTGAGTGTTTCTGAATAGTAATCCTTATGGCAATATTTACGAATACTATCAATCTTTTTGATATTATTCTGATTGATTAATATCAAGGGTCAACTACATTTAACAGGCTCACCCCGTTCCAACATCATCGTACTCATTCTCCAGTTTCTGCTGTTGTTTAGCATTTGCAACTTGATTCAGTTCTCCGAAATGGATTACTCATATTAAAGGGCGAGGTTCAGAGCTTGCTCCCCTATCTTAAGGGGAGCAACATCCTATCTAGAGGATAAAAACGATGTATTTGCACACGTTGGTGTCTGTAATTGAAGTTGCGGCGACATCTACTTCCTATATTCAGTCTGATTTTAGATTATTGTTGTCTTAAATAGGGCAAACTGCCGGCTACGGACCATTAAGGTCGCGGCGCTTGTGTAATTCCTCAATTTAACTAACGAAAGTTATCGCCCATTTTTTAAATTTCTAATTATCGGTACCTATTCCACATCGTTCATCTTAATCTAGGTAGGACCAATTACCACATCGACTGGACACCCTAGCCTAGAGCTGATCATCTTCGCCTTTTATTTCGCAGACTCCGTCTCACATACCTAGAAATACCACGACTATGGCCGTGCGCACGACCCCAGAGCTCTTAGGTGCGCTCCAGCACGTGCCCGAGCGCATTCGAAACATCTGTATCCTCGCGCACGTGGATCACGGCAAGACAACGCTCAGCGACAGTCTCGTATCCGCCAATGGTATCATCTCAGAGCGCGTCGCTGGCAAGGTAACCCCGGCTTTGTACCCCTTGCTCAACGTACCCATCGCATGTACACTTATTAAAAATGCACCCATGTAACAAACACTTGATAATCGACAAAACCAGGTGCGATATCTGGACAACACGGAGGAAGAGCAAATTCGCGGTATCACGATGAAGTCCAGCGCCATCTCGTTGGTCTACCAGCAGGAGGCCACGACTGACAGTAACAAGCCTGAAGCGCCGTATCTTATAAACCTTGTCGACTCGCCTGGCCATGTGGATTTCTCCTTTGACGTGTCCACTGCTGTGAGGCTCTGTGACGGAGCTTTGATACTTATTGATGCAGTTGAAGGGGTCTGTGCTCAGACCCACGCCGTGCTTCGCCAAGCGTGGAAAGAAGGCATTCGTCCCTGTCTCGTGATTAACAAGATGGACCGCCTCATATTTGAACTGCAGTTTTCGCCAATTGAAGCGTACCAGAGACTTAATCGTATCTTGGAACAGGCCAATGCCGTGCTGAGCTCTATGATCCGGATGGACGTGCTGGAGGAAGACGATAAAGCTATTGGGATTCAACAGAGTGAAAAGGTGAGCGCTGACAAGATGGAATCAACACTGGATGACGAGGCTATATCAAAAGAGATGGAGCAGCGAGAGAACGAAGTGCTGTTCTCGCCGTCGAATGGAAATGTGATCTTTGCTAGTGCTATAGACGGATGGGCCTTTGGGATTGGTTACTTTGCTGCCTCTCTATGCAAAGATGCTAGGCCTGCCTGTACGTAAAGTACGTCAAGCTCTATGGGGAGATTTTTTCTACAATGGCAAGACGAAGAAAATTGTAGCGGAGCCGCCAAGCCTCAAAAAGTCAGCCGATGTTTTGCTCATTTATCCTTGACCTGATTTGGGCAACGTACACAACAGTGGCGAAGCCTGTTAAGTCCGATACGGACATGGACTCGCTTCGCACGCTGACGCGGCAGCTCCGGGTTGCAAAACTGGTTTCTGATCGCGATTTGAAGCATACGGATCGTAAGCTTGCAACTCAAGCCATTATGCGCAAGTGGCTGCCGCTGTCTACGGCGGTGTTAAAGATGGTGACTCGCATTCTGCCGAGTCCTGTCACTGCTCAGGTAAAGCGTGCGCAAAAGCTGTGTATTGTCTCCTCGGAACGTCTTGAAAAATCAAGCCAGCACGCACAGGTATTCCATTCTCTGAAATCGTGCCAGACTTCAAAGAACGCACCGGTGGTAGTGTACATCTGCAAGGTGATATCTGTTGCGGCAAATGTACTGTCGGACTACCGCCAGATTGGGTTAGCTTCCAATGTTGAAGTCTATGTTGGTGTGGGCCGCGTCTACTCTGGCATACTACAAGAAGGTCAGCCTTTGTATGTGATGGACCCTAAGTTCCAGGGCATATCTGAGGATGTCGATATCGACACAGTCGACCCAAGAACCGTGAAACACGTAACGCAGATTGGTGGCGGTGTGATCAAACCTTACATTATGATGGGTCGAGAACTGCATAAGCTGAACCGCGTGCCTGCGGGAAACATTGTCGGGATTGTCGGCCTGCAGGAACATGTACTTAAGACGGCTACGCTGTCTTCGACATTGGCTTGCCCTTCGTTAACCAAAATGCCGTACCAAGCAAAGCCGATTGTGCGCGTGGCAGTTGAGCCAGAGGACCCACGTAATTTTGGCGCTTTGGAGGCTGGTTTGCAGCGGCTGTATCGATCCGATCCTACTGTTGAAGTTCACGTCCAGGAGACTGGAGAACATGTTGTCGTCGCGCTTGGAGAACTTCATCTTGAACGATGCATCAAGGACTTGAGAGAGCGTTTTGCCAAGGTCGCAATTCAAGTTTCCGAGCCATTGGTCGGATTCCGAGAAAGCATTGTTGACGGGACTGTTTCTGCGTTCCAGGAGAAGATTGTGTTCAAGGGCCTTCTGAATCCCGAGACAGATAGTAGCGCATTGTCGAATAGAGAAGAAGCCGCTATCGCTAGCGATGCTCATGACTCCAAAGCTGCACTGGGAACAACCCCAGACGGTACTTTGACACTTCGGATGCGTGCGCTTCCGTTGCCCGTTGAGACAGCAAAGCTTTTGGAAGAAAGCGCACTACTCATCAAACGCATTGAGCTTTCTAAGAAAGCAGCGCATGAATCAGGTGACAAAGATGCGAGTGCGGATGATAATCCGATGGTGGAGGATATTGTGGCTTTCAAGCAAAAACTTGCAATGTCGCTCTTAGCAAGTGAAAGTACACTTCTAGAATCGCTTCCCTTGGATAAGATATGGAGTTATGGCCCGCGACGAGTAGGTCCTAATGTGTTGGTGAACAACATTACGGGCTACTATTCACTACGTGCAAACATCATCAATAAACTCCGCAGAATGTGTTCAGAACGCGGAGACGTTAAAAAAGATCAAGATGTTGGAAAATAGCATCGTGACAGGATTTCAAATGGCTTCGTCAGCTGGACCCCTGTGCGACGAGCCAGTTTGGGGAGTGGCCTTTGTCATTGACGACGTCGAGTTTCACAAGGCGACTGATGACGAGCACACGTCTGAGGAGGAGAAGGCTGATGGCAAGCAAATACGGACCGCTTAGTGGGCAAGTGATTTCTGTCATGCGCATGACTTGCCTCATGGCGTTTGTAAAGCAGCCCGTTCGCTTAGTCCAGGCTATGTACGAGTGTACCGTGCAGTGTCAAGCCGAGCAGCTCGGCAAGTTGTACAACGTGATCTCAAAGCGCCGCGGCGACATCTACTCGGAAGAGCTGTCTGATGGTACAGCACTTTTTACAGTGAAAGCTCACTTGCCAGTTGTAGAAAGTTTTGGATTTGCCACAGATCTATTGACTCAAACATCTGGCGCGGCGAGCAACCCTCAACTCGTTTTTTCGCATTGGAGCATCATCGATATGGATCCCTTTTTTCAGCCCCAAACCGAAGAAGAGCGCGAAGATTATGGAGAGTGGGTGTACGAGCGCAATTATGTCAGGAGATACATCGAAGTAGTGCGCAAGCGGAAGGGTCTGTCTCGTGACGAGAAGATTGTCGTTCATGCTGAAAAACAGCGCACGCTAAAGAGATAAAAAGCGGGGGATCGATTGTTTTGGTTGTAGATGCATTTGCAGACTGGACACAAAATTTGCTGAGCTTGTCAAGACCTGAGGAGCATCTCAATGTATTTCTGTGGTGATCCGTATTGAATGCTCAGCAAGCATTTTCGTAAGTGACCTTGATGCCGCGTCTTGCATGACGATCGACGAAGAGCGCGATTCACTGCCGACGTCCTGAAGTAGGACTGTACATTCGTCGCTTGAGGTGGATTCAACGTATAGCCATTTTACCTTAGTGACCAAATGCCGGTAAAAAGTCATGCTGAGCCTATAGCGAATATCTTTATATTACACGCATGCTCGAGCGGCACATGCCGTTCTCCTGGTGCCGCTCACTCAAGAATGTTTCTTGTAGCCTTAGTTTTTTGCAGGTCCTTACGCTCGAACTATGTGGCATGGATTGCTCAGTAAAAAATACATGTCTAGGCACGTGAATGTGGTAAAAGCTGCAGAAGTGCAGACATTAGCGCTACAATATATTTACATGCAGAGAGAGAGACAAGACAGCACGTATGTAAAATTGCTTGTTGCCTCTATCATCTCGCACACTTCGATCGTTTCGTGTTTACCGCATGTTTTATGTTTGCCATCGAGTTGGTCGTTTTTAGTTTAGTTTGGTCGCTGCGACCTGCATCCTCTCCATTTAGAGCGCTTTTGTGTTCGCCTTATATTATCGTATTGTCCTGTACGACTGACCTTTGCACGCTCAGCCCCAAGTAAACTACTGCACGTAGTAGCCGATCGATACAGTAAGTGAATCTCGATGCGGATCTCGCCACTACTCTACTCGATGTCGTACCAGCCACGACGATGAATATTCGTCAATCTAGATTTATAGCTGAAAAGAAAAAATACGTCCCACTAAAATTTTTACTCAGTTACAAATCCAGGAAACATTCGAGTCGCTCGAAATCGCTGCTGGCACCATCCGTCGATTTGTTATGATCGATGTCATACAGATAACCGCAAAATAATTGCAGCGGATCATAACGATGTACGCAGATCGTCGCGTTTGCATACACATGCGTATGTTGCCGTATTACAGCTTTCGAATAGTTGGCATCCTAATTGATTAAAAAGAGCTACTACTTTTCAGGAAGAATTGATCGAAGTTGTGATCTGATAACCAATGGTCGTATTACGGGTACTTGTGGTAGCGAAATGGCTATAGAAAATGCGTGGAGGAAGATGGATTGCTGATGCTATTCTAGCAGCGCGTAGACAAACCAAAGTCAACTTTTTATGTGCTGTCCGTGTCGGAAATAACCATAACATTGCTGTTGTTAATAAATCTTTTAGGTCATTTTCAGCTGGATGTTCTGGTCAGGCTTAGACAAGTACGCAAATCAAACAGAAGTGCATTCTCAAAAGCTGTGGTGCGAAGATAAAAAAGGCGAGGACACACTACTTTTTCCAAATAATCGAGCTCCGTACAAGATCTTTGAAGTTAATATGCATGAACAACCACTGCAAAAAAAATTGCACGGATGCAATTGCCCCTCAACCGGCATAATGTGAACTATTTGTATTCAGACGTCTAGATGATGAGGATGACAAAATGTTCAGGCATGCCGTGATTGTGAAGTACTCTTACTTATCTTGCATTACGCACCTATAAAGAAAGGTAGTACTACTTTGTTTCGTTCGCTTCTTTGCGTCAAAAACAGTTAGAGTCATAATTAGTCGATTTAGATCAACTTCAGTTTTTGATCAAAGGGAGATGTCATTACACCAATCATGCAGCTCAGAACATACCAGCAAGGAATATCACGTTTAGCAATCATCATCGCTACAAGCTTTAACTTGGTTGGAGCGTTGAAGCGCCAACAGCCGTTCAATAAAGTGTCAAATACTTCTGTGCATCCAGTGATTACGTGCCTAAAGAACATGGAAACGAGATGCGCATTTTTAACTAATGGATGCAAGCATACTTTACAAAGTATGATCCCCGTGGACTAATCTAACGTACTTTGCACAAAAAGAATGGTGCGGGCAAGTCAAATTGGTGCTGCTCCAGGTCAATACATGAATTGTGGTGCAGCACAGTATTTGTCAGGCATGAAAGTATAGTCGGCCCTAAAATACGGCGGCCTAATATGATCGTAATATTAGCGTATCCATGCGACTCTTGTACATATATCACGCTTTTGCGACCCTAAATGGGCATTGAGAGCGATAAGCCCGACATGAGCAAACGCACTTACACAACGATTATAAAGATTGCTGACAAGCGTAACCAAGTTGAAGAAAGGGCGAGCTTAGGTACCTTCGCAGCAACATCCCTTCGCTTGTCGATCTGCACTGCGGTACACAATTACAAGGAGCATGTAACATCTAAGCAACACCACGAAATATTGACGTCACATGTAAAAGTAGATGCAACTTATTGTGTAATTACAGATTGGTGTCACTGACGACGTAACGTGTTTTCCGAATCGCTAGAGACCGATAGCGAGTTAGCTTATCGATTTAAAGCCAAAATACTCATTTGTATCCGTTAACTTTTCCTCCATGATTGACCATTCATGATGAAACGCCTAAATTTGAGGCGCTAGAAAAGACAGGTGTCGGTACATTTTCCGATGATATCAGTAAGTGCTCATCCATCCTTTATTGGGAACGGGACGATCGGTCTGTTAGAAAAGAATACAACATTTACTAGATGTCGAGATTCATGCAACAAGAACCTAAGATTCATGCAACAAGATTCTACAGAATAGCTAACCTCTTTGAACAGTGAGTACAGTTCAATAAACTTGCGTTTGGCTCATGTATGCGTAGCAATGAAAACTACTCTTTGTAATACGGAGGACTACAAACAATTGACCATGCTCACGTTGTGTGACGACTGAAATCTTAATAATTTTTCGGCATAATTTATTAAAACAGTTGGCAATATAACAAATGAGTATAACTTGCCCTTTGAATTTTTTTGCCCACACGGGTCTACAACTCGTGGGTTCAATGAAGCATGACCGCAATCCTAAATGCATTTGTTGGTGTGCGTACTCACATCTCATTCGACGCCACCGATTACAAACGCTCGTAACCATAAAGCGATATCATACACTGAGTCCTTTCAGTACAGGTCACTGACTCGTTCTTAGTATGGCCGTAGCTCATTAATGTGTGTTAATGAGTAGAAGTAAGTAATTCTGGCTTGATAAATATGATATCAGCTGCAGGATAAACTTTCTGTATGGCTGCTCATTCATTCATCGGGAGAAGTGCAATTGTAAGGGCGTCGTAGATTTGCACTATTGCATGCCTCTAGATACCACCATGCAAAGTGCGTATCCGTGCAAATGAGAATAGACGGTGGTTCTTTGATCGTCATTCTGCGCGCGAAGGCAACTGGCGATTCACAAGAATTTGGTAAGGACCGAGTTAAGTAGTGATCGAAGAGGCTCTCAAATCTGTCAATATCTATTTTGTATGTCTACATATTCTTTATTGTCAGATTATTCCTCAGTGCAAGGCCATATTTAGAGGACATCAACGAAAAAGAACGTGGATCACCTCAGCGGCTATCGGGCATGTGCAGAAGCAGACTTCAGTTCTGAAGCTGCTTCACAATTAAACCGATGCGACTGTGGGTGTCAGAAGCAGGCGTGATCGAAAATTGAAGCATCGTAAGTTGATCACCGCAAATACCGTAAATTAGGACATAATCTGATGTAAAGGTTGGCGCGGTGATGGCTAGCGCAATCTTTTCAGGAACATTACGCTTGTTGCGGGTTTTTTTCTTTCGTGTGGCTGTAATCAGAACGCAAAAGACTCAAACTGTGTCGATTGCAGAACTTGCTCTGTAAACCTGCTGACCCTTTGACCTTGCGTAAAAGGACCAGCAAGGGATGATATACTACAGGTGCTTAGATTACAGCTTAGACCTGTGTGACCGCTCACAGGGTTCGTGTTTATTTCTTATGCACCCTTAAATGTCTAAAGCTGCTTTCGTAAGGTGCGGAGGTCGCATATGGGTCACAGACAGAAAGATAATCGCTCCTTTGGACTATGATATTGCTCCAACAACCAATGACTGCCGAACGTAGTAAACTCGAGCAGCTCTGCTTCAATCAGCTGCACCGGAAAATGCGCATGGCTTATATACAACAACGCGACGGCCATATTGCTACCATAAAGCCGCCCGACAAATTATAAAGATGGTCTCGGGCTGTATCGTTGTTTGAGACATGGCGCTCTCACAAGTAATAGCCAACGAACAATGGAAAAGGATCATCACCGTCAGCGACGTGATGAGACGTGTTTGCAGTAGCACTTGCTGGCATGTTTTTTTTGGCAGACATTTACAGAGCTTATTTATGTGATGTACTGAAGGTCAGGAATGTGTATTCAAGTTTGTCAATACTTGCAAGGTGGAAACTTAAGTGCGGTGGAAAAGTACATTACGCGCTTAAAAGCGTTTTTAAAAACGTGCTTAAACCATTCTAATTTTGTGGTGTGGTGGAAGCCGCAAAACATTGTATTGTATTTTAGTGAGCTGTTACACCTACCCCCTTTTAGTTAAACTTACTCCTTTTTAAAGTTAGACGCATGAAAAAACTAATGCTGATTGGTTAATCTTGTCCGCAGAGTTGATTCCTTTTTTTTTAGCTTAACTTTTACTGCCGTTACTTCTCGTTTGAACGAGAAGACGCGGTAGTGTAAATACCTCAACGTTAGCCTATAGTGTAAAGAAATTGCTTTCCAAGATCGTGGCTGGAATGGTATCCGTCCACATGCTCAATTTTGGCCTAAGTGGCTTAAAACTGTTTGGCGATATGCACCCGCGGTTTATCATTGACATGTCAAACCACGTCGTATTGACGCAGCCCGGATTTATTCGGCAATCACTGATGAGGCCTTTGTGTTCTGCACAGGAAATACATTCACACTATGCTTGCAAGATAATTTCGACTTGGCTACGTGCGCCATTCGCTTCAACATGGAAAAGCAGTCTTTCAGCCGTATCTTCGTCCAGCCAATTAAACATGTCGATAGACAAAACATCAGCAAGGTTCAGTATCGTAAGATTCTGATCTAAGATAGCTTCAATCTACTTCTCTTTGTCTTACTGACCGCTTTTTTGCATCTGCAGGTTCGGAATTGTGAGTAATGTCCCTCTTCTGTCTTCATTTTTGCCATTACTGTCGTTGTCTTCTTCTTTCTTCCTCCGCCTTTTCATCTTCATTCGCCGTTGCTACTCAAATTCTTGGTGGCTCGATGCCTGTGAAGTCGCAAGTAGGCGTTCTGACTAGAATCTACTCCATAAAGGCGTTTTTGGTCTTCAAACTACAAGATGGTAGCTAAAAGTCTAGTAGGTGGGAAAAACAAATCAATTACGTTATTTAGTGACGTTAGGCGCAGATGTCGTACTATTGCACTCGCAATTCAAGCTTTGTGTTGACACAAAAGGCTCCTCAAATAGATTTCTCATTATCTCGACGAGAACCATAATCGTCGCAGTGCCTGTCTAGGCCACCGGGCGATGCCATTTAATCGCGGAATTGTTGGAGCCTGTGAGGAATTCTATGAACGAGAAAGAGGTCTATTTTATCCTTCAAGCTGACCCATCTAACATGACTGATTCGAGCGTTTACTTGGCGTAAAACTAGCTTATCTAAGATTAAGGTTTAGATGCACCAAATCAATAGAGGGTAATTAGTACCGGCGATCTCTTTCGGCCAAATCAAAATAAATAAATGGTTTGGACTATCCAATCTAATTTAGAACATATTATCCAAATTCTAATTTACCTACCCTAACTCTGATTTTACTCCGTTTTTGCGGTGATGGCGATTGCTGGAAGGAATCAAACCGCGAAGAAGGAGTCAATGGAGGAGACTTCGAGAGCAGTAAATGAAAGGTGAACGTAGAATACGTATGTACGGTGACCAAATCGACGTGAAAGGCTCTTACGGACCACACTCCATTTGTTTCAGGCGTACATGTGCGCGCCAAAATTTTGTCGTCTTTTTCTAGCCACAAAATGCCTTTAATTAGTCCACCGCCGTCGAAAAGTCATCGCATCATGCCTTCACACAGGCGTCTTTTTAAGTTGGTGGCATTGACGTTGACTGTTTCGATGGTTTCGGTGGTGTTGTTGTCGTCGTCATCTTTAGTGGCGTTTTTGCTGACGGTGTTGTTTTGGCCGCGTCATTGGCAAACCTTGCTATACTAAATCGTGAAGTTTGCAAGAATGATCAGGTCGATCGATTTTGCCGCCAGGAAGGTAATTACAATGATGCAAATGTAGCCTTTTGATAGTGAGGAAAGATCTACAAGTGAGTTTTATAGCACGGATATATACGCTTGGAACAAGTGCAATGTACCCCTATGATGCACGTTGCGACATAAGTATGCACCAACGATACCTTTAATAGGCTTTCTCTACGTATATTTACAGGCTCCCTCATCTTTGCTTTTGTTGCTCATGGCCTGCCAGTTACCGTTATTACAGCAGATGCGCAGAAACAAATAGCGTTAACGTCAGTGTATCAAATTTTGGATGATGTCTTCAGAGTCAGTAAGGTCTTAACAAATTAAGCTTGACATCAAATTTGAATGGCAAAACAAATCATCGTCACAACGACCCATTTTCGACTGGATTTTTTGACCTTTTTATTATTTTATAAAAAAAGAAGTTAATCGAATAATCCTATGAAAATAGCCGAATCTTAAAAGCTGACGTCATAATCCTACAAGCCCACGGAAATACATGTCATCAATTCGTAACCAGTTATTCGTACTTACCAATAGGGAAACGCTTACCATACCCCAGGTATTCGCCAGCCACCCCGCACCCCTCTATATTACCCTAATTTATGCATTTACGCCTTCTGATCGGCATTGTTGCGAATATCACAGTTCTCAGAAGTAATTTACAATCTCGTTCACAAATGATAAAATACGAGATCCGAAGATTTGCAATAGAACCAGGTAAGTGTACTTTACTCATGTCGAATAGTGTCCCCACCGTCGGTTGCCGCAACTTTTTGCTACTCAGGTTTAAGTGCCTTGTGAAGGAAGTAGCTGGATAATAAGTTGCTACTCGTCGCCGACTCAAAGACATGCTTGTTACGTTCAGATCTCGTATTTTATCGTTTGCAAACGAGATTGTAAACTACTTCTAAGGACTGGTGATTTTTTAATCTTACCAATTAGAAGGCTTAAATCGAATAAATTACGGTAATATGTAGGGGTGGTGGTTGGTGAAATCCTGTGGGGTGGTGAACGTTTCCTATAAACATCTTTAAGTAACCACGCCGGCGCTATTGACTCTCGCAAGTGAGCACTCGTTGATCGTTGCAGCCATCACTTTTTCACCACGAAAGCTCTCCCTAGCCATAATCATAGCATGAGTTTCGGGTCCCACGAACTCTTCACCAACATTTGGTATTACGTGAACGAAGCTACCAGGACGCAAAAGCTCAGTGCTAAATGCTACGAACCCAAAGCATATCATCCTAAGAAGGTTCAGAGCGTACAATCTGAATGTATTCGAAATGTGGATCTGGAGCTCTTTGACTTTGACTGCAACTTGACACACCAAGATCTCCAATACAACATCGAGTCGTTAATGCAGCAGGCTGCATCTGTTGGCGTTAAAGATATGTTAGTACCTGGCGCCTCGATCGAGGAGTCCCAACGAGCTATCGAACTCTGTAGTCAACACCCGACGAAACTTTTCCCAACGGCTGGAGTGCACCCGTACAACGCCAAAGCAATGCCAAAGGCCGAGGAGCTAACGACGCTTCAAGATCTCTTGAAACTCGAACAAGTTCGTGCAGTCGGAGAGTGTGGGCTTGACTATTCGCCGAGCTTTCCAGAACGGGAGTACCAGCGCAACTGGTTCGCTGAGCAATTAGCGATGGCGTGTGCGCTAAAAAAGCCACTGTTCTTGCACGAACGGCAAGCACATCACGATTTTATCGAGTTGATTGATGCAGCCAGTGGAAATTGTGACGGATACTTTCCGCCAGCAGTTGTGCACTGTTTTACGGGAAGCGAGGAAGAACTGAAGGCGTACGTTGCACGTGGCGACGAGTGGTACATTGGCATCACTGGATTCATCTGCAAGCCGCAGGGGGCTGCGCTGAAGAAAATGCTGAAGCATGTGCCATTGGATCGCCTCGTTCTGGAGACAGATGCGCCGTACATGGGATTTCCCAAATGTCGCCGTGCTGAGTCAAGTGAAAGTAAGAAACAGTATCCAAACGTGCCTAGTGCTATGCCCCTGGTAGCTGAAGCTGTTGCCTTTGCTCTCGATTGCTCACCAGAGGAAATTGCACGGATCACAAGAGCAAACGCACGCCGCTTTCTCCGATTGTGAACGAAAACTACTGAAACAGAGCTCACGGCTCCGCAAGCATTCGTATACTCCGTGTATACACGTTCGATTCCGAGCATGCGATACATGGCTGCAGCTTGAACGACGACGAGCTTCACCTGGTCCTCTAGATATTTCTCGTTCTTTTGCATTACGTTAAATCTCTCTATAACCCGTCCGTAGGTGGCGTGTTGTTGAAGGCTATAATGCTCCTCACGCGCGTGTCCGCCTCCTTTGAGTTCCATTCAGCGTCCGACGACGTTTCTTCCTCGACACTTTCGCACTCGCTGTCCGTGCCCAATAGACTGCTATTCGACGTCGAGTGGGACGATGTCGCTCTTGGTTTCGTGCACTTGTGCACAGCTTCGAACGTATCGTCTTTCTCGACCAACAATCGACGGATGGCTGCGGCAATGACTGCCACGCTGCGCTCGTCGTTTGCCACGGTAAAGTCCCAGGCAAAACTTTGGTAAAAATCGAGCGTCTCGTCCATCCACTCCCGTTTGTGTTCATTCAGTCGCAGCCGTTCGGGCTCCAGCGCAATCCGCGCGCAGATGCGACGCCATAGAAGCTCGCGATCCACTTGCACGTGGACTGTGTAAAACTGCACATGAGCAAAGTCTTGAACTTCTTTCATTTGCGCCCGAATAACCGGCTCTAGCAAACGGCCATTGGCAGAGTAGAGCACGGCACTGAAGGGCGAGCGATCAGCAATGAACACTTGTTTCCTCGTTGGCTTGACGCGGTCAGCAAGACGCAACACGCGTTCGAACCAGGAGCAGACCCAGGACGTTTCCATGAGGAGCGACTGCGGGTGGAGAGCATACGAGGGCATTTTCATGAACGCCTCGTCCAAGATGTCGTATCCCTGCGCTTCAAACTCGGCACAGAGTGCGCTTTTGCCACATCCTAATGAAATCAGTGGTTCAAACGTGTAGTGGAGGGAGTCAATGGCAAAGCAAAGGTCGAGGTGGAGGGAGAACCAGAAGGAAGCGTAAGAAAAGAACGAGTGGATACGATCGAATGCACGGACGCACCGTGGCAACCTTCCAATGCGACGATGACGAGTTTAGCTACGGATGTCATGCTTGTGTCGCTGCTATCGGCTCTTTCGAAAGGTGGTAATACTGGAATGAGACCGATGAACAAAAAGACTCACGCGCCAATTTTTCACCGGTACATCTGAGCTAGATACATCTCACTATATGCGGAGATGCAACTTTCCACCAGGCGACTTGCTCACGCAGCTGGCTTTTCTGCCGCCTTCGCGCCAAAAAATATGCGATCCTGGCGCTGCGCACAGTAAATCCAACGGCTACTCCAAACACACGCACCCACTTTAGATAGTGTGGTAGGTTCTTTTTTTTCGCTTTATCGCTGGAAGTAGTAACGAAGCGTTTCCTTCCCGAAGTGGATTGTTTGTATGGACTGTGATCCAGTAGCTAATGTGTCGCAACAAGTAATTTTAGCTAAAGTCTTAAGTTTAATCAGACGCATCAAAAATGCTCTTGCCTTCGACTCTCCAGACTCGCAGTTGATTGGCTAGCATCACATCCTGCGGTAAATACCCTCGGTACTCTACCTCATCTCGCGCAAAAGGCATACATCCACCCAATCAGCTTCACGGAATTGTCGTGTGCTTGTAACCATCTAAAGTGTAGCCATAACACTAGATCGCCTTTTACGAACACAAACACGAACGCCGGACCTATCATGGTCTTCTGTGGCGCCGACTTCCAAGTGTCGAAAGCACCCGTGGCGTCCGTTGCCATCCAAATCAAAGCCAAATTGACTGTGAATGATGCAGCCAAGAAGACGTCAAAGATCCGCGACTTTGCCACTGAGTTGAAGCAGCGCCTGGAATTAGCGATGGGTGCAGGGTGGCATGTCATCGTGGGTGGCGACTATGCGGTGGATCTTCGATACGTACGTGGATGGGCTGTCAAGATCTGTAAAAACATAGTGATCAACTATGAAGCTGTATATGGCCGTTGTTTCACTTATACGTAGCGTAAGGAGGCTTGCGTGCTGCTGAGTAGCAAAGTCGGCAAGATGAAGGTGCTACTGTACCGCACGACACCATCTATCTCTCCTCGACCAAAGCAAGAGCACCAAGCTTTGACAAGAATGGGTGAAGACTTCGCTGTTAAGAGAAAGGTCGTTGTTCTAGAAAGTGACATGGATGATGAGATGGCGGATGCAGTCATTGACAAGACCACGAGACTTTACAACTACTTTATAGTAGCGGAGGATAACGAGAGCAAGATTGCTGAAGCCCTTAAGGTAAATCTGGAGATGTGCGTTAATTGAGCTTGCTAATTCTTGGGTACAGTACGATACTGATCATGTGCAATACTGCAGCATTCGCTTACGCTCGCCTATGGCCCGACGTGGCAAGTAATAGCAACTTCATGTCGCGAGTTTTGCTGTCTGCCTATCGCCAATGAAGGCTTCCACATTGACTTTACTGTGTCAAAGCTGCGTGTTGTGGTGTACCGCCATGCTGGGACGAGCTTGGACCGTCAGTTGGATTCGGCGCAATTTGCCAAGCGCGTCGCCTTTGTTCTAGCTATGATATGTTTGCTCCTGTTCGCGTTCCTATCATTCTTTTCGTCAGGGGCACTCACGAAATGTAAGGCACTTGGTAATGAGAGCAGCTCGGTGAACGGGGTTGGTTTGCCTGAAGGCTGCACTGCAGTAGACTTGAAACGGGCGAACGATCACGCGTGGTGGAAGTTTGCTGCGATGCTTGGAATGGTGGTGTTTACAATGATGGCGTCGCTTATTCGCATGTGTGTCAAGTCGCTCACTCCGAAGCTCAAATGTGCATAGAAGCAAACGGACGGTGCTGCAGGATGTGCTGAGATAGAAGCCATAGAAAAGTCGTAGCATTACGAGAGCAAAGTTTGGGTGCAAAAAGTGAATAAATAATGAGCCCATTGCGTCGATCTCGAGGAACGTATTTTTGCATCGCATAGACTTTTGCCGGACGTAGGATCTACCACCGGGTGACCACTCATTATGAACAGGTACACATGAATCTTACGTACGCACGAGCACGAGCACTATAACTCATCACCATCAGAACCTCGTGTGTGTGATGCCAGCGGTCGGGTTGCACTCCTTGTAGCGTTATGTTGCAAAGTAAGATGAGGCCCTGGATGAGTCTGCTTTTGCCGCAAATCATGTTTTAGCATTTGCCGCAAAAACTGCGTTCACGAAGCCACACGCAAGTACTGATATCGTCGTTATCAGACACCGACTCGCGCCTTGCGAGACGTATCTGCATCGTCAATTTACGTAAAAGACCAAAGCTATCCAGGTCAACAATACAAAAGCAAATACATTCATTTCGTGCGCTGCAGAAGATTGATGTGGACTAGCACTTGCGCCGCTATCCCGTCGAATGAGGTCACGAGGACTTTTTGTGCTCACAAGAACAAAGACCGCACAGTACGAGATCTTGTTGCTGTGCGACATGAAGAGTGCACAAAACACAGGCCAAGGTCTTGCCGTCTAAAGCATGAAATCGCAGTCGACAAGGGTCCTGACTCATCTTTGATCTCGACAATAAAAGAAGCGATGTCCATTTGCTGAGCGTCTATACTTTGTCGCTTATCTGTTCGTCTTTCCACGATTTGCTCATACGTGGTGTCTCTACGAGTCCAACATGCCTTCATGCTAAAAATCCCTTCGCACTTCGACTTCATCCTAACATCTCGTAAATGGCTGCAGTTACTCGTATTACTGCAACGTTAAGCAGGGATGATGCCGAATACATTAAATAGGTTGTAGGGGAATGAGTGTTTTCATTTCCCTACAATGCGTTCAATGTATTCCAAAATTCAAGCCAAACCTCTCAATGAGGTTTTCTTCTGATGTGCCTCCGCCGAATGCGATTAATAGCGAGAAATCGCCTCAGAATCACAAGTGAACATTACACATTACGATAAACACGTCAAATGCATTCGCCATCAAGAGTCGCACCTTCAGGTATCGCTCGAGACACTACTCTTTTTCTTACACTTTCGCTACCTCGAGTCGCATCATAAGAGGCGTCATCATTCCGAGTGAAATGCCCTGTGTATAAGCGACCTTCTGATCAGGTTCAGGGACCATGTAAAAGCGGCCGACCATGCTCGCAATCGCGATCTTCATCTCAATCAAAGCTAGTGCTTGGCCAACACAGATACGAGGACCGGCGCTAAAAGGAGCGAACTTGGTTGCAGTCATTGGAATGACCTCACCCGTTTCGTTGTCGATAAACCGCTCCGGCTTGAATTCCAACGCATCTTCGCCCCAAACACTTGTGAGCCGCCCAACAGAGAAGAGCGCAATGCCAATGTCCGTCTTCGCAGGTACAAAAGTGCCGTCTGGGAACACGGTGTCCTCCATGCAGTGCGTGGTGATTAACGGGCCAGAAGGGTACAGACGGAGAAGTTCACGGATACAAGCCTCAAGGTACGGCACCCGGTTCACATCCTCCAGAGACGGTATGTACTCCATGTCATTGCTGATATGAGGGATCTTGGTCCGGATCTCGTTGCGCAGCTTGGTTTCGACCTCTGGATTCTGAGTCAGCATGTGGACCAACCAGCTCATGCAGTCGGCAGTGGTGTCTCGACCGGCGACAATCGAAGCCAAAGCGATGTTGCGCACTTCGACGGGGTTCATTGAAAGACCTGTTGACTCCATTGTATCAAGTACTATAGACACAATGTCTTTGTCGGCAAAAGCTGCTGGCTCGCCTGCTTTCTGCTTCGCTACGCGTGAACGACGACGTTCAATAGCGTCAGCAATAAAACGCATCAAATGCTCATCGATTACGCGCACGTCTTCCTTGAGCTTGCGCTCATCGCCCACATTTAGCCAGCGACGGAGTTTCCAGTACCACATGGGTTGCTTGAAGCGCTTGCCGGCCAGAAACTGCGCCTCGTCCATCGCTTCTGCAAACGGCTGGAAAGCTCCACTCATGGAGCCCATCTTGGCCCCGAATCCGATCTCACCAAACACGTCGAACGTGAAGCGATGCAAGAGGTCAAAGACGTCAAGAGGAGCGTTGATAGCTGCCGCATTCGACAGGATATTGACCATCTCCTTTGTGTACTGCTGCACGAGCGGAGTCATGTGCTCACGCAGTGCTCGAGCACTAAATAGTCCGACAACGACGCTGCGCTGACGCTTCCACGTCTCGCCGTTCGTCAAGACTATGCCGTGGCCCAGCAAATCGTAAAACACGTCGTGGATGTAAGTGCTCTTGGGAAAGTTGTCAAACTGCGTCTTCAGCACAGCTTCGAGGTGCTCGGGCTTGGCAATGAACATCATATCATCTTTGCCGGGTAGACGTACGACGAAAGCCTCGCCCTTTGTAGCAGCAAACTGATCAGCCAGCCAGTCGTGCATGCGCGGAGCATTGGCTGCAAGTTCGAAGGCGTTGCCCAGTATTGGAAGCGTTCCTGGTAGAACGACGGCATGCTTGACCTTGTCGCCTTTGGATAAAGTAGACGCCTCGTTCAACTTGGTATAGTACAGCGTGACGAGCACGGCGGCTGAAACGAGGCTTAGCACCTGGGGAGGGCTGAACAGTGACTCGAGCATCTTCTGGAGACTGGAAGTGAGATATGCCAGAGGTTGTCTGGACGACGATCCTAATGAGCTGGTCGGTATTTCACACAAACAGGGCGTTGCAAAGTGATGGAGTTGATGTTGCCCAGCTTGAACGATCCGTTGGTATACACGACTTTAGCAGCTGGCCTGAGCTCGGGTGAACGTCTCAGCTTGGCATGTCCCCGGATTTGTAGCACAGGTGAGGAACGTTCCGCGACATCGTGTTGAAAGAGTTTCTCACGTGATTTGCTTGACGTATCCCATCGACAGCACGACAAAGCCAGGTATTGACGATTAAGGTGGTATGAAGTGCTGCAGTGTTGACTCAACACTACAGCTCAGCCGCATGATGCAGTTGATGTGCTTTGTATAACGTGGACGACATTTGAGAAGCTCTGCATACAATGGCAACCCGAGAAACAACGAAGACGAAGACGAAGCGTTATAGCTGGAGTGCTGTTCGCGTTGCTCATAGATCGAGTGCCAATGGCTTCAAACTCCTAAGCTGCAATCGCACTTTTCAGGCTGTACGATTTGCAGCTTGAGTCTCGTACACCGATGGTCTCGACACGCATCATGAGCGGAGTCTGCATGCCCAGCGTGATGCCCTGTGAGTAAGCTGGCTTCTGGCCAGGCTCGGGCTTGAGATGAAAGCGGCTTATGATGTTGGCAATCACGATCTTGATCTCCACGTACGCTAAGTTTCGGCCTACGCAGGTGCGCGGGCCAGCACTGAACGCGCAAAACTTGCAGGATGACATCTTTAGGACCTCGCCACTCTTGACATCGAGAAAGCGCTCGGGCTTGAAATGTAACGCGTCTTCTCCCCAGACACTAGGAAGGCGACCGGTTGTGTACAACGCGATACCAATGTCCGTATTTTTTGGGATGAACGTGCCATCAGGAAACACGGTGTCGCGAATGCAGTGCGTGGCGATCAACGGTCCAGAAGGATAAAGCCGCAGCACTTCACGGATCGTTGCCTCGAGGTAGTGCACCTCACTTATATCCTCAAGTGAGGGCACGTACTCTGCGTCAGTGGCAAGCTTGGGTAGATACTTCAGTAATTCCGAGCGCAGCTTGGCCTCTACACTCGGGTTCTCGCTCAGTATGTGGAGCAGCCAGCCCAATGCATCAGCTGTTGTGTCCCGACCAGCAATCAGCGCAGCGGTAGCGATGTTGCGCACCTCAACTAGATCGACGACCTCGCCTGCTGACTCCATCGAGTCCAGAATGATTGACACAATATCCTTACCGTAAATAGGCTGGACTGCTCCACCCTTCTTCATAGCTTTATCCTGTTCTTGACGATGCTGTAGGGCACACGAGATGATCCTCATCACGTGTTCATCGATGACTTGGATCGCTCGACGCAGCTTCCTCTCACTGCCAACGTCCAACCAGCGCTTTAATTTCCAGAGCGCATCAGGCTGCTTGAACCGCGCAGAAACGATGTACAGGGACTCATCTATCGCAGAAGCAAGCGTTCGGTCGCATCCTTGCAGCAGGTTCGTCTCCGTCCCAAACCCAATCTCGGCGAAAACGTCGAGCGTATAGCAGTGCATAAGACCAAAGGCGTCAATTGGCGTTCTCGACGCGGCTGCGTCTTCAAAAACCCTGCGCAATTGCACCACGTACTTCTGGGACAACGGCGTCATATGTTCACGCAGAGCGCGAGCACTGAAAAGGTTCACAAGCACTCGTCGCTGTCTCTTCCAGTTCTCCCCATTGGTAACAACAATGCCATCTCCCATCAGGTCAAAAAAGACGTCGTGAATGTGTCGACTCTTTGGAAAGTTGCTAAACTGCGTCTTGAGCACTTGTTCGATATGTTCCGGTTTCGCAATGAACATCATGTCGTCTTTGCCAAGTAACCGTAAGGTGAACGGATCTCCTTGGGACGATAAGAGGTGGCCGGCGATCCAGTCGTGCATTCGCTCCGAGTTCAGGAGGAGGTCAATGGAATTGCCCAGAAGAGGGATCTTCGATGGCAGATAGCGCACGCGTTTGGCCACCACCTTATTATCAAATTTCTCTTCGATTGAGGCTGTCGACAGATTCGAGGCAGTACTGGTGAAATAAATGGCGGCGAAGAAAGCTGATGCAGCCGCGATGAAGCAAGGCACCGCTAAGTAGAGACACGACATCTGGTCTTTGAAAGACGATTGTAGCCTGGGCTGGGCCTGAAAAATGAAAAGTGGCGATTCCAGCGGCCGCGACTGTGTACCCCCTTCATGTTGTACTGATTTAACAAGTTGACATTACCGCCGAAATGCGATTGATATGCATGAGCTGATGATACGTCGAGACAAAAAAAAATTGTTTTACAACAAAGGGATTTGAAATGCACATAGGATATCAGATTCGGCACGCCCTTTCTTTGCTTTTTTTCTGATGCTCATCTAATCCACGAGGAAGATGATATCTTGCTACAAATGAAAAGATGTTGCTGTTTAGATGTGGGAATTGATAGGCACACACCCGCCCTCTTGATGCGTACACACCAGAGTATTATATCAGGCGCCCACACCCACGGCCCCCCACGTCTACCGTCGCTCATAGTTTTTGTGGTCATGGGCTCAACAGGCGATTCGTAGGTGGGCGTGGGTGGGCACGACGTCGCAAGCTTACCCTTTATTTTGCACTACACTAAGATGGGGAGCGCTCTGGAGTTCGCTCTTTGATACGAGTAATCCGGTTTAAAAACTGAATCAAAATAGCAAAACACTATACAGTAGCAGCAGTCGCTGAAGAATGAGTATGATACTGTACTGTCTGTATAGACCTAGTACAGTTTATGGCTGGTGCAACGCGATCGGTCTTTGCTTATAAGCGTCCAGCATTTGCGTACGTATATATTTTTCATTTGATTATTTTCAAGCTAATCCTGCGCGTGCGTCACAATAGTGACCTCGCCAAAGAGCGACTTCGCATGCACCCACATACACTCCAGGTCATTATGAAACGGTCACCCACTTTGGTGCTCAAAGCTCCATTACTAATGCGAGTTAAACGCTGTCGTTTGAGTACAATATGCATATAGCTTTTCTATACCCCTATGCAGTGTTAAAACTCCGATGAAATGAATCCAACTCATAGCTCATGTACAAAAATCCCACTTGTGCTCGGCAACAAGTATGCGGTCACAAAAAGTGTAACGGGGTGAATCGTTGCATAACAATTTATAAGAAATTGTTAATAGAATATAACTATTAGAGTTATATTCTCAGAATATTGTCATAAGGACAAATATTCTGTAGCACTTACGGGTAGTTCCTAATTGGTTGATATAGGCCATTATCTCAACCAACGAAGACGCGCCACGACAGACGCACGCAATGAGTGGTGAGCAGATAACTGATTTACACATTTGCATTCAGACATAGTTAGATGAGGATGAATAGTGATTTATTAACAGACATTAACTATGATAAATACAGTTCTACTTTTTACTTTAACCAAGTACTCGCTTCTTCTTACCGTCTTCCTCTGCACGTACGAGTGTACGTGAAGTGACGAGGCACCGCCTTATTCTGTCGTCAGAATAAGTAGCTTGTACTGTCACCAGTACAAGCTTCAGGGTGCCCTGTTACATGATGTGCACGCTTACGCGCAACATATACGACATCTTACGAGTTGCTAAGTTCCAACCCGGTGGATGAACACACGTTGGTTTCGGTGTTCGTGCAGGGTCTTGCGGATGGTCCCGTCAAGACTCACCTGTTCAGACTTGAACTAGATTCACTAGAACAAGCCATTTCGATTGCGGAACAGGAAGACTTCAGTCTGAGACAGGCTCGCGCCAGCTCGACATCATATCGTCAACCGAGACGATATGACAGTGGAGGTCCAGAGCCGATGGAACTCTGTTATGTAGATAGCGAGAAGGCTCGCTCTACAGACTACAAGAAGTTGCAGAAATGCAACAGATGTCAAAAGACAGGACACTACGCTTACGAGTGTAGTGCCCCTCGTCCAGTGTCTCGCAACACTCGGCGTAATGACCGTCCACCCATGAGAAAGGGGCAGGGACGCGGGTCCGCTGTTGGTGCAAAGACGCAACAACGGGATAGACCGTCAAAAACGTACATGATCAGTAGGTGCGGACCACCCTACTGGTCCAGCAACGTCAAGAGAATGTTTAGGCCTCTTGATGAAGGTTGCTCCCAACACACAGACATTGTGCGTTGCTGCTCCAGGTAATGAGATCTCACTCATTACCTTGAAACTCGAAGTGACGAATAAGCTGTCCCTTCGAGCTCTAGTCGATTGTGGGGCGTCCAACAATTTTGTGCGACGCCAATCGCTAGAAGATGGTCACTTTAAGTTTGGTGTATGTGACACACCTCCTACGAGGATGACGGTACTTCTTGCGACAGGCGCATCCGTAACTGTCATGAAGCGTATAGTGAAGATCCACTATACGCTAGAAGATACCCAATATGACGATGACTTTGTCGTATTGGATTTGGATGACAAATTTGATGTCATCCTTGGAATACCGTGGCTCAGAAGGTACGAACCACGGGTAAACTGGCAACATCGAAAAGTAACGATGCCTGTCGCTTGTTCATCAGATGGCCATCTGATGAACGTTTTGGAGCGTCCACAAGCATGTGGATGTACAACGAGTGAGTGCGATGGCCTCACTTGTGGTAAGTTCGTTAGTACGACTGCACAAAACCTTAGTGTAACAAACAGTTACACTTCTGAGCAAGATTCCAGCGGCTGTGAGGAAACACAGGCTGCGCCGAAGGTCCACCACTCGAATAAGTCGAGTGGACTGGGACAAAGATGTATCCCTAGCGGGGAACATCTAGAAGAGAAACAATCGATCGCTCAGGCTAAGCGAAACGATAATCCTATATCGACTGGAGAGTCTTTCGTAGAGGATCTCGCTGTAATTGCGCAACTACAGCTAGAGGAAGTTAAGGGAATAAGTCCCGATATTACAATACGGCGGAAATAAGTTCCCCGAAACCCGAGGGAATAAGTCCCCGGGAAGCCGAAGGAATAAGTCCTTCGAGGCCTGAGGGAATAAGTACCCAGGAAATGACAGAGACATTGAATGTCATAGTCAATAACGGATCAAGTGTAGGCGCTTATACACTTGATCTGATTGCGCCTCCGAAGTTGACTTCGGAGATCACTCAGTTGCCAACGCTCGAACATAAAAGGTTCTTGCGTGATCTGCGTAGTGGCAAAGTCAAGCAGATCTGCGTACTCGTCGCTGACGACGAGTGTGTAACCGACATAAGGTCAGCAACAGTGTTTACTGAGAACGAGAGAGTTCTCAGTAGTTCATCGATGGACGAGAGCGTCCTCGATGAAAAGACACGAATTGAGCGATATGACTCCCAATCGTGGGAATCGCTCAAGACAAATCCTCTCTATGACGATTTGGTTGAATTCAATGACGCATTATCTGAAACTGTTCCGTGCGAGTTACCGAAGGATAAAGGTATTCGACACGAGGTCGAGCTTAAACCAGGCTCGAAGTACTGCGTCATGAAGCAGTGGCCACTGCCTCGTGAACAAGTACTTGCGATCGACAAGTTCTTTGTCGATCGTTTAGCTGCGGGCCATGTGAGGGAATCAACTTCCCCACATAGCTCTCCGACCTTCTGTGTGCGAAAAGCAACAGGAGGGTGGCGGATTGTGCATGCATTTAACAAATTGAATGCTGCAACGGTACCGGCTCAGACGCCGATACCGAGGAAGGATGTAATCATTGATGGTATGTCAAAGAGTACCATCTTTTCGTCCATGGATTTGATGGATGGCTTCTATCAAATCCTTATGCGGGAACGGGATATACCCTATACCGCAGTAAGCACGCCTATCGGCATGCTCTGGGAATGGCTAGTAATGCCACAAGGGCTCAGTAATGCCCCTGCCACTTTCAACAGATGTGTATCACATCTGTTGAGACCAGTACAAGAATTCGCACCGAGTTATTTCGATGACGTATTCATCCATAGTCGGGCTATGGATGGAAAGGCGGACGTTGAGGCTCACAGATACCACGTCCGACAGGTTCTTACAATCATGCGAAAGCATCAATTGTATGCAAACCTCAAGAAGTGTATATTTGCAGCAAGCGAAATACCACTTCTTGGGTGCATCGTTGGTAAGAACGGTGTACGTCCTGATCTCGAAAAGATCAAGGCGATCACCGACTGGCCTGTGCCGGTTGATGTCAAAGGTCTTCGAAAATCCCTTGGGCTAGCGGCGTATTTGCATAAGTATTCACGCAATTACGCCGAAATGACTGTACACCTCTCTCGTTTGTTGAAAAAGAACGAGAGGTGGTTATGGAACGCTGAATGTCAGCGCTCCTTTGAGGGTATCAAGCAGAGCTTGATACAAACCCAGTCCTAGCAATTGCCGATCAGGACAGGCTATTTTATGTGGTCTGTGATGCCAGCGATTTCGCAATCGGCTGTGCTTTAATGCAGTACGATCTTGAAGGCGTTGAACGCGTCGTCTGCTATCCGTTGCGTCAGCTGCAATCAGCTGAGCGGAACTATCCAGTGCATGACAAGGAACTCCTTGCCATGAAGTATGCACTCGCGAAGTTCAGAGTCTATCTATTAGGAGATAGACCCTTCATTGTTTACACTGACCATGCGTCGTTACGCACGGCAGTGAACAGCCCGCATCTTTCACAACGAATGGCGCGGTGGTTGTCATTCTTTGCAGAATACAACTTTACGGTAGAGTACAAACCAGGACGACTTAATGTCGTCGCTGATGCACTCTCACGTCGTCCCGACTTTGAACCAGTCGTAAAACCCAACAGTGAGACAGTCACTGCTGCGGTTATGACGTCCGCCATACCATCTTCAACGTTGCATGATGATGTGAGGCGGGCATAAGCCCAAGATGGTGAGATTGTGAAGTTGTTGACACATCTCTCACAGCCATCTCGAGAATCGTTGAAACGATTGTCGTCTGCGTATCGATCTGCATCAGATCGATACACTACTCGCAACGGTTTACTGTATTATACAGCCGTTTCTGGTGACACACCACGTGTTGTCATTCCAGATGATACTGATCTGCGTTTGCGGATCATGTTCGAGTATCACGATGCTCCTATAGGAGGACATCGTGACCGAGAGAAAACATATCTCACGGTGAGTCGAGACTTTTACTGGCCCCGACAGTATCAGTTTGTGCGAAAGTATGTTCGCGCATGCGAAGTCTGCCAACGAGTGAAGTCAAGTCCTTCAATGCGTGCACCTTTACAGCCTCTACCGGTTCCGGCTGAGTGCTGGGAATCCATCTCAATGGATTTCGTCTTCGGGTTACCTAAAGACGCACGCGGGAATACGGGTATTCTCGTATTTGTTGACAGATTCAGCAAAATGGTACACCTTGTGGCTGTACCCGAGTCAATCACGGCGAGTGGCTGTGCTTGTTTCTTTATTGACACCATCTTCCGACTTCATGGGTTGCCCCGTGAACTCGTATCAGACAGATATCCACGATTCACTGCTGATTTCTGGCGTTCCGTGTTCAAATCACTTGGAACGCGCTTGAAGATGTCGACATCTGATCATCCAGAGTTAGATGGTCAGACGGAACGAGCCAATCGTGTCCTCGAAGAGATACTTCGAGGATACGTACACTCCTTTAAGAGTTGGAGTGAGTTCTTGCCAATGGTAGAGTTTGCCATTAACAACTCAGTGCATGCGTCCACGACACATACACCGTTTTACGTGAATGGCTTACGCCATCCGCGTGTACCCACCTTACTAGAGTGTAACTCTGGTTTAAGGATGGGAGAGACTCGCGCGAGCAAAAACCGATTTGGTTCACGCTCATCACGCTCTGACGATGAGTTCATTGCGTTTGATGCCGATATCGACAATATCGACATCGAAGAAGATGATGCCAGTGAGAGTTCGGAAGCCCTCACTGAAGAAAAGATTGATGTTGCTGCAGTGCAATCACAGCGCACTGAAGCTAACGAGTCATCAGATGAGTTCATACTGGCTCGTGGAACGGTAGTCCGTTTTATGCAAGACTCCATCGCCGAAGCGGTGGATAAGCAAAAGCAAAACGCTGACAAGAATGGAAGGGCAAACACTCTTTTATTTAATAAAGGTGACTTAGTCCTACTGTCTACGGTTAATCTACCAAAGCATGTAGTGACTAACTTGGGTAGCAGTAAACTTCCACCCAAGTACATCGGCCCATTTCGTGTATTGCACCGCCTAGGCAATGCATACACGATCGAGCTACCACGTAAGATGCGAACGCATCCCACGTTTTACGTTGGTCGGCTTAAGCCGTACCATCAGTACGCTGTTTCTTCTGATGAAGAACGCCCTTGCGTTCAAGCATCTCGCAGAGAGCCTTGTGCTTCCGATGGTGGGCATCAACAAGGGTCTGAAGAGCAGCTATCTCATCCCGAGACCGATCATCAATCCCACGAGCTACCCTTAGCTCGTCACGAAGAGATGTCAGAGATCTCTCGTTCTCAAGCTGAGCAACGGCAAACTCAGCTCGATGCTTCGAGACAGTGTCCGCCATTTGGAGACGCCTGTCCCGCTCATGTTCGAGATCGCCGCGTAACCCTTGCGTTACGCGATCAAAGAAGCTCTCGGGAACACACGCTTCCCCACGATTGTGTGGAGAGCGTCTTTCCTCCTCCACCACCTCCATTAGAGGACTCTCGCGATGGCCAGCGCTATCTGATTGAGCAGCTGTTGAACCACAGCGATGTGAACGGACGTCGGACGAGTTATCTCGTCCGGTGGCGCGGTTATCCCCCGTCCTGGGATACGTGGGAGCCCCGCTCCCAACTGATGGTTGACGTACTGGGTCTGGTTGAGCAGTACCACGCGGCACATCCTGTGCCGCAGAAGTACCGCCGGAGAAAGTCTTCCCGGCACGGTCGTAAAGGGATTTCAGGTTGTCAATCCCTTCGTACATCTCAATAGAGATACGTACGCGCCACCACGGGCTATTAAGGAGGTAAGCCTCCTTAGGTTCGCGCGCTGGGTTGTTTACACAACAAGGGCACGGGTCTCCCTAGGAAAGACAGGGTAATTCACCCTCCTTTGACAGACGATACAGCTTGTAGCGTGAACCTGTCGGGGTTCTCTTCTTAAACTTATCACGAGCTTTGACAAGTTTGTCGTTCCAAACGTCACGACCTACATCCTCAAGGTTATGGATGTAAGCGTTCCACGCTTGAAGCAGTGAGGGACCATCACGTTTGTGATTCCCACTATACCATCGATGCTTAAATAAAGCATCGATGAAGAATTCATGCTCAGCGCGATAGTCTTTCGCACTGGTGTCAAGGTGATGGATCCTTGATTAATCGAACAATCGTGTTAGATAGCGATCACTTGTCGTCGCCGACAAGTGATCCATGACTGACTTTGGAGGCAGCCATGCCTTCTTTTCGGGAGCGAGGCGCAACAAGTTGTGGTCCCGCTATTCTTGCGACGTGCCGACAGAAGTACTGGTACCTCGCTGCGAAGTGGTGTCAATAGGAGAACCGACACCACTGTTAGCGCCCGAGTCTTGCGATCTCGAACGCCTTCGCTTCGGCGATGGTTCACCTGATTCGTCAGACGAACCAATAATGCTATGACGCGTAGCATCATACATGCCACGCTTGGCAGGCGGCTTGGATTCAATCGCCTTCGATACGGATCCGTCTTCCGTATCAGGAGAGTACGAGACATCACAGCTTATACTCTGGGAAGACATGAGTGTCCTCATGACGAGCGCCTGAATCACCAGGTAACACAGACCGAGACGCTATAGCAACCGATGACACATCGGTTGCAGCGGTTTCTGCTTCGGCGTCCGCACAGAGACGTGCAGACGCGCTCTCGGCGGCCTTGCTCGCGCATCTCATGGGCTTGTTAACCATGCGATGAGAGGTTGGAAAATGGACTCGGACCAACAAGTGCACACCCCGTCCCAAATCATTTGGGACGAGTACCCATTTAGTCAATCAGTCACTAAAGTGACTGATGGTTAAGGGGGGGTGATGTAACGGGGTGAATCGCTACATAACAATTTATAAGAAATTGTTAATAGAATATAACTATTAGAGTTATATTCTCAGAAAATTGTCATAAGGACAAATATTCTGTAGCACTTACGGGTAGTTCCTAATTGGTTGATATAGGCCATTATATCAACCAACGAAGACGCGCCACGACAGACGCACGCAATGAGTGGTGAGCAGATAACTGATTTACACATTTGTATTCAGACATAGTTAGATGAGGATGAATAGTGATTTATTAACAGACATTAACTATGATAAATACAGTTCTACTTTTTACTTTAACCAAGTACTCGCTTCTTCTTACCGTCTTCCTCTGCACGTACGAGTGTACGTGAAGTGACGAGGCACCGCCTTATTCTGTCGTCAGAATAAGTAGCTTGTACTGTCACCAGTACAAGCTTCAAGGTGCCCCGTTACAACGTTGATCACGAGCAAACAAATTTTGTGGGGTGCCAGGGCTAATGCAGCCGACGTGAATGCTCACAAAACGCAAGACTGCGACACGTGACCGATTGACAGCATTCGCTATGGCGCGCTTTATTAAGACTGATCCTTGTAATTTGTAGTCCCTTATGCTCCGGGTCGGGTAGCGCTTTTCCCTACCCTATTGTTTTGGATTAGTTAAAAAAGATTAATATGTATAATCTTATTTGTAATTATTCAAAGTACAGAAAATTTGTGCTAAAGAAGATTTAAGCTTTCATTTGTATGTTTTTTGGCCGTATACTTTTGCCGAGCAGAAAAAGTGGCTTTTTGTATGTGAGCTACAGGATCGATGCATATTATCAGTTTTGTAACACTGCAGAGGGGTAGATTTAAGCTTTGCACGTATCATACTCAAACGACAGCGTGTAACTCGCATAAGTTATGGAGCTTTGAGCACAAATGTGGGTGGCCGTATCATCATGACCTGGAGTCTTCCTGTGTGGTGATGACAGGCTAGATCGCACTTAACACATGTAAGCCACACCTAACCGTATATGGACACACAAACTCACAGACACACAGGTTAGTACGTTTAAAGGTTGGCTACTAACCTTGCGCACACTCACTAATAGCTTCACCCTCCAAGCTCGCAATTACACCTTTTTTATTACAATGCAAAAAGAATACTGGAAAAATAAATCTGGTAAACTACTGCGCAAAGATTTTGGGTTAACGCCTGTGGGTAATAAATCTATTTTAAGGAATGGTTATGGGCTTGGGTGGTCTCTGCCCACCCACGCGCAAGGTTCTCAGCCTATGGGTGGGTGCGGAAGCGCAATTTCAGAACTCTAATACGCACCCACCCGAACTGTGTAAATTAATCATTTGCCACAGATTGTAACAAAAATGCATAAATGTTTGAGTTGCTAACATAAATACATCACTGCGATCTCGTCCATGACCAGCAGTCTGTCACTTCACTTCAGCGATCCTACCGACCCCGGTGGACGAGTGAGATAGCACTGGCATAGGTATAGAGAGGTACTTGGATTGATACACGTGGGGGAATAGTCGATTCACAAGGCCCGAGAGTGGCTCCCAAAGCTTGGTACTCATCCTTTGGTATCACTGGTTGGTCAACGTACGGGTATGTACCTCAACGACAAAATCGAGAAATCAAATTCACTTCAATGATCCTCCACGATGGTCGCCAAGCAAACGGAGCTTAAAAACAATTTCAAGGGCGAGCTGCACTATCTGCGGGTGAACCTCATGTCATTCTCGCTTAAGGCCATGAAAGCGTTGTTTGCCGAAACGTTTAACCTTGCGCCCGAAGGCTTTGTGGTGCAGTACATGGACGTGGAGGGTGACTCACTGAACGTTACGTGGCAGGTCAAGTACGAGGAGGCGTGTCGCATTTCTTCGCCAGCTACGTCCAGCGCCACGTCTGTGCGCCTTAGATCCGTAGCCTGCTCAGCGGTCGCGTTCAAAGATAAGTTGTCGGCACCGATTTTTAAGTTTATTGAGAATCCCGTGAAGACTCTGAATAGAGCCATCATTAGGGTCAAGCACGGGTATGGTCGACAAGGTGCAGTAGACGGCGCAGACAAGGTTGACCAGACGAACGAGGCACTCAAGACGGTTGTCCTGGACACCTGAGAAGCGGTGCAAGCAACGTGCAAAAGGATGTAGGAGCTGCCATTTGACCAGTTTATGAGTGAGACGATGGAAGGTGTGGAGTGTGCGACCGAGGGCGTTGACGAGTTAGCGAAGGGAGTGGTGGTATGTTATAAGAGTATGAGGAACCGGTCCAGGAGGAATCGGCGCATATTACAGAGACACTGTCTTAGTCGATGTCTTTTGTGGTTGTCGAGTAGATGACTGAAGAGCCGGTGTTGGCTAAACGCGACAGCGAGTGGGAGCAGGTGACAGATCAGGACCGAATTTCGGCTCCGGTAAAGGAGGCGCCAGTGGCTGTCGAGTCTATGGTGGCTGGATCGGATGTAGCTGCGACTGCGTGTTAGAAGAAGAGTTAAGTAAAGTAAACGACTTGTAAATTACCACGCACCAGACGCGTTTCGGCCCCCCGCCTGGGGCCTCATCAGTGGTTTGTCAATCTACAAGTGAGAACTATCCATACATCTAGCTGCTTTACGACCTTTTGTATTGCATAGAATTCTAAAGAACACTCTACACATACCCTATCATGGGTCGAATCTCGTGAGTCGAAACCAGTGCATCATGCACTTCCAAAACTCCGGTCGTTTCTGCGCCGGTCGTTGAGGAGCTGGTGTCTGCCGCTCCGTCGGAGGATGAAATTAAGTGATCGGAGGGAAATATTTGTAGTGCGCAACATCTTTCTAGCTGTAGAATCGAGCGAGGTTCGAGACCGACTGGAGCAGTGCAACGGTAACGTGCTGGTGGTAGTTTATGTTTTGATGGATGAAGTGTAGTCGCCTAGTACAGTTTATGGTGAGTTTCGGTTTGAAAAAGATGAAGAATCATGGGATAGTGCTTTTAGTGCAGAGGTGATTTTTGCAGCCAAGCGTCTAGGCAGTCCAGCAGACTTGCAATCTTAATCGAAGCTTTTCGTTTGTAACAGAAGCGCATGGACAATGCCCCTCGACATAGCAGGGACAGATCGGACGATAACTACAATAATGACGACGAGTCCACAACGTCATCATCTCCCATATCGCCCACCCGCTCGAACAAGAGATCAGCGTCGACGTACGACGGAACGTCTTTAAAGAGCAGCAAGATTCCCGCTCTTGCTAGTGATGTGCAGACAGCTTCTGCAGGCGGTAAAAACATATCCCATAGTTATATCTAAGTCCAATCGCGCAATGTCCTACTCACACCCTTCTCCTGATCAAAGGTCGAAGTGCTGTTTAATGTAATTGGATAGAATTAATGTGTTTACGCTATAACTTGTGGCAAACAATCAACTAATACAGCTTGCGGTGTACTTATCAAAGAGTGCTCGAAGATCGCATTGCTGTTTAGTTGAGCAGCTTATATTTTAATGCATTTTTGTTTCGATTTTTGGCAAATGATTAGTTTGCACAGTCCGGCTGGGCGTGTACGCATCAGAGGGTGAGTGTGTACTTATCAATTTCCTCGATGTATGGGTCAGATGATATTGATCATTTGTAAAAATCCTGTCGGATTCATATACTTGACCCGATGTGTGTGCCAGTGGGGGGATGACATTCCTTATAAACTAGTATGGGCTCAAAACCCCACATCCGTGCGCTTTACAAACAGTGTATTTTAAGAAATATACCCGTAAGCCAAAATAACGTGATTGTGCTCTGCCGATTGGAGGTGAAGCAATTTTACGGAAGTGTGTGCCTGTGCTACGTAGTAGACATATTTGTATTCGAAATCTAAGTACTATCATGGCTTTAGTGGATTAATTGAGCGGCATCAGAACTTTAAAAGAAGTTCATCTAAGAACCAGAAAAAAAGATTAATCTTCATGACCTGATGAATGTAGTTCGTTAGCACAGTTCTGCCAGGAAGTGACCCCCCCCTAAATTTCTTGATGCAGCACTTTACAAAGAGAAGAATAATGTACATCAGTGTAAAATATTGTCGAATCATGAAACTGTTGGGACTTGAAAGGTCAATTATTGAAGAAAAGTATGAGCTACAGTGAGCAAGCTAGACAGCTTTTAATATGCACGTATAGTTACTGCTTCAGCCACAATTACTATTTTCGCCTTCTACGCTTCTTTTAGCGGGTTATGCTCCCAAGCGTTAACTCCGTGGTTCAATTTAAAACCGTTTACAGGACCAGCTACTCTTTATGGGCTTATAAGATGAATGTGTACCCCGTGTTGAACGGCCTGTGGATGGCTGTAAAGTGTGGGTCGATTTTCTCAGAGGGGATAGAGTAGAAGGCGTACGCGGTGATTATAGTAATACTGAGTTAGAAAGTCTAACAAGGGATGTTCTAATCGCGTTATTAAATCGCTTAAGTATCTTCTTGTAATGATTGCGTGGTTTATACCACATGGAAGTACCCAAAAATCAGCTTCTGTATAAGAGACTGGTCCTGTTTAACCTCACCTTATCGCGCAACCACTGCTGTAATGCACGCATATCCACCGTGACAATTCTCTTTAAAAGGGACAGTCACCTACCACTATTCAAGGATCAAATTGCGTCTGATTCTCTTGGCGCTGATCACTAGATGCGTGTTGACGATGCCTTGTCAACTTCTGTTCTGTAACGTCACTGCTATCTTGGGTCATTATCAGAAGAGAAATACGTTTCTCACTAATACGCCAATCAGGGCTAAATACTTTAGCTCTTACATCTCCATGTAGTAATCAATGTCGTTTCGGTCCATCGGGTCGCCGATGCGTAGCTGAAATATTTTTTCCAGCAGGCTGTTGTTAGTATTTCACTAGCTTCAATGCTTGAACTGCAGGTGATAGTACGGAATCAAACGGGCACTGTGAGCTTTCGTAGGGCTCCAAGCTACTTTAAGAATAGCATCACATGTAGCATCGAGCCAGCAGTTTTGTATTCGCTTCATTGCCGTGAGCTATCCCAGAATGTATGTGCTGGCATGTGAACCTCACGTTTCTTTAAATCCAAATCTTGCTTGAGCTAAAGGTGCCAGTATCGACGCTCAAGCGAGGCGATGATACCGGCGTCCATGGACAGAAGCTTACGGTAGTTTGGCGAAAGTAAAAGACTGACACGCTCTTTACCTCCGCGCCTTCAGCAGTGTGCGTCAATGCATTATCGATAAGGATAACGATGTTGAGGTTTTGAGGGCGCATGTCGTTGCCAAGATCAAACAATAAATCTCAGAAAAAGAAACTTGTCAAATATTCCTTAAATTTAGTAAGATAGTAGAAGCCAAGCCAGCCGCCTGTATTCTTTAAAAAACAGCGCGGATTCTTCGTTTGTCTAAACAATAACGGCTCCCGTTCGTCGAAATCATTAGCGATACACAGCAGATTGACTGTCACAATATACTTGTTTTTCTTCAATATTTCTAATTGTCGCAAGCCGATGAGTTTATCGAGCGCATGGCAGTACAATAGTCCCATTTCGTCCATGATGTAGATGACAGCGAATAGATTACCTTCAGGGACTCCCGGATGGCGTTGAACTCTGCGGGTATCTCCTTAGACTTCACAGAGCCTCTATACCTAGTCAATAAGTATAGAAAAGACGTGACGTACCTGGAATACCTGAAGCGATCCGTTCGAATACGACAGCAGCTGTCCGTCTGGGATGCCACTTAAGATACAAAACTGCATTACAACGGGGCACTCTTTGTTTGAAGTACCATGAAATTCACGTACACGAGTACGCGCAAAGGAAGCTAATCTACCCTAACAGCTAAGAGTTTGAGTTTGAGTCAAGGGTAAAATGAGAACTGTATTTAATGTAGTTAAGCTATCAATTATACTTTGATCTGTATCTAAATAAATTAAACTACGTCGTCGTATGACGACAACCTGCTTACCACTCATTGCGCGCGTCTAGCGGCGATTGGTGGTAATCTATGATTGATATGTATTTTATCAACCAATCTTTGAGCAGCGCATGAACATTATCCTATAAGAGGGTAATATTCCTTCAAAATTGTCTATCTAGGATAATATTGGTAGGATATTGTCATGCTAGACAATATCTCTATTGACACCGTTTGGTGTCAATATTATGTAAGGCCTACCCCGTTACACGCATCGCTCCTGCCTTGACCAAATGATGTTACGACATCACGCGCTTAGTTTACAACTGCCGCACACATTTTTAAGGGATTATTCTAGGCATGGAACGCGTGCAATCGGGTCCGCATACTCTTGAGGTCGACGAAATTTACATGTAAATCCTTTCAGCAGCCACGAAGAATGCCTGATATAGTCCCCCGGACTGGCTCCGAAGAGACCAAACTCGCGCTTCGTCTTCTGTTCCAGATACAACTGTTAGAGTGTCGTTTTCATCATTCCTGTAAGAAATTATCTTTCTGTTGATACATCGGATTACCAAACTGTCAGGGTAGCTACGGCATCGTTGTTTTGCAGAAAGGTGAGTAACGAAAAGCTTTAGCTGATATTGTGCTAAAATAGACTTGCTGAGCACAAATTGAGCTTCCTCGTTATTTGAAGGCTGCAAATGACTGATAGGCGCTCGCACCTCCAGACTTAAATCCCCTTTTTATTAATGTTGAATTACAGCTCCAAGTGTCAAACCAAAAATTTGGCAGGTTTTTTTTATTGTGAAACCTGTCTACATTTTAAATTCAAAAAACCAAAATGTACTTAACGTTATAAGGCTTGTCATTTTAAGACAGGGAAGAAAAAATTTCTTGTAACTCCTGCATTGATATCAAGCCTCACTACCAGATCCTTTATATTGCCGTCCCGACTCTACAGAAATCTTGGCCATACGCAATTCGTACTAAACGAGAAAAACTCGGCAAAATGATGGATTTCATCCGCTTTGCTCGTCGCAAACGTCATTTAGACAACTGAAAGCCGAACCAGATCCAAAAGACCACCTAACTTCAGGAAACGCATAACGTCAAAGGAACTTATTCTGCTTTATCCAACACGCTCACTCGTAAAGCCGAATCAACCAAGCTTTAATTTATTGCAAAAGAAAAAAGAATGCAAAATCGGGAAGTAGGGTATCCTTTGATGGATGCTGCACTAGCCTGTTGGTTCAAATTTCATCTATTATGAGAAAATGTGGGTAGTGACCATGTGAGCGAGGATCCTAGGAATATTCTAGACTGTCTGTACTCATTATACGATTCATATAAGTCCCCCAATACCTGTTTGGAAGTCTTGAAGAATTGGCATGTTTTCAGTGTGTATTATCTTTATAAAAGAGAGCGGCACTGTGAAGGCGGATCTCATCACGGAAAAACTGCCACGTCTGGAAGAAACGCTTGACAAGTTTGAGAGTGATAACATGCTCAACATGGATTAAATTGTCCTACTGTTACAAATAAGATGGTTAAACGCTAAACTTAGTCTATAGTGCTCGTCACATAGATAACGGTATCACCTTAATTACCAGGTGGGCAACTCTGTAGCGACACGGCAACTGGGAGGACGTAAAAGAAAGAGGAATGTGACACTATTGATGTTTGCCGCAATGGGGTCTGCAGCTACAGGCTTACTCTGGATCATCTTGAAGGATGCTGACCTTTTATGGTTTTCAAATTCCTTGCATGGAAACATGCAATGCGAGTATATCGAAACGACGCTAAGGCGTGGATAAAGGAGAGCTATAAACTCGAATATTAAGGGCCTCGACCATCGCTTGGCGAATTTTGGCGTCCTGCCGATTCTTGGTAGCTCACCTCCCTTTCGATAAGTCTCCTTCTAGGATATCGCTTTAAAACACCACGGTTTTGCACCTACCTCTCAACATCACATCGATAAAATCGTGCGATCAAGGCATCATCCTTTGCTAC